TTCATGTATGATTTATGAATTAGAATTGGGGGAATTGGATCCCTTTTTTAATCTTTGATTATTCTTTAATAAATTACAGGCTTCAATTAGAAAATAATAAACTAGGAAGGAAAAGGGAATCTTTAAGACTTCTTAACTCAAAAGAAGACGTTTTCACATGAAACAACAAAGAGTTCTACCTTTTTTTACCCCTTGTAAATTTGGAATTGAATTTGGCATTGGGGGAAATTAAAATTGGATTTGGAATTGATATTGGAATTGGAATTGGGGGAATTGGAAATTTGGAATTGGAATTGGATTTGGGGGAAATTAAAATTGAATTTGGAATTGGAAATTTGGATTTGGAATTGGATTTATGAATGTTGGCACTTTTCACTTTTAGTTCACTAATTTTGATTTGAAATTGGAAATTAGTTGTATGAGATTATGAGAAACGAGTTCATACATTTGGAATGAGATTATGAGAAATTAGTATTTTGGGTTGTATTGAATCACGTTTTCATATATATATAATTTTTACGTTTTAGTGCGTTTACGTATATATTGAATAATTTTTAATATTAAATAATTAAATATTAATAAACAATCCCATTTTTACGATCGCTGATTGTCGACATTAAGTGGTCAACGTCCGCACGGACTGAACTTCAATGCTAGGTCCGACACTGCCTGTTATATTGACCCTTTTATTCCTTTTTTATACTACTTATATATTAATGGAATGAAAACTTGGACACTACAGATTCTTGGTGATGATGAAAAACGTACCAAATATGACAGTGGTGAAGGCATTGACGAGGGTATGGGAATGGGTGGAGAAAAATTTAACCCTTTTGGAGCAGGGGCCCAGCAATTTACATTTCATTTTGAAGGAGGATTTCCTGGTAGGGGCTTTGGTGGCTTCCATTTCTGACCTAGGGGACGTGTGGAAATATGTTTCACTAACAACTTTTGTGCTGAGACTCCGGAGACTTTAGAACATCAATTTTGTCTAGCCCCTAACAGCTGCAATGCATACATATAGGCAATTCTGAAATTTTAAAGATCATAGTCTATTGAAGGAAAATGACAACCCCTTATTTGAATTGTAACATGTGCATAGAATTTTTCTTTATGAAGTTTTGAAGGCCAGTGGAACATATGTCCTCTTAATACAAGAAAATTGGTATTTTGTTTTTAATACTTGGAGCCACCAAAAGATTGTCTAATAAATGAACTCTGCAAAATATTGAGATGTACCTTTTGCAGGAACACTCTTTTGACAATTCACATATTTCTAAGAATAATATCTGTATCATCTGTTCTTAATGATATTTATGTGATGAGGGCAATGATTTCCTTGGCCGGGTAGTGATGTTTTTATATTATTTTATTTACGTAGAGGTTATTAAACTATAAAAATGTACTACTTTCATCGAGTTGATTAGAACTGGAAAAATGTTTGATTGGTAAGTTGAATTGTACGTTGCTGATTTTTTGCAAAATTTTGCTTGGTTGACACTTTAGGTGTTACGTGATATCTACATATTGTAGTATACAATGACAAAGAAATTCCCTTTTCACGATTTTATTATGTTGTTTAGGCTTTTGCATGTGCACGATGTACATAACATCTCAAGATCTTATTACAACAACTACTGAGATTATTTTCCTCAAAGCAAAATATTGTGCTCTAATTAGGAAGTTCTTCATACCTTTTGGGTTCTCATCTGAAGGCTCGTTCGACACCCTAATTTTGAATTCAACTTGCATTGCCCTCATTCATTTGGGAATCTTTTACATTTTCACTCTACTAAGTGTTGGTGATGATGCTCGTTGCATGGCCTAAAACAAAAACCCCAAAATAAATTTCCGGGCACGTGATGACGCGCTTCTTATGGCTATATTTATCCTTCACCGAATTGAGTGCACAAAGGATTTAAAAAAGCCTCCAAGATATAATGGAATTGAAAGAAATACTTGTTGGCATTTATGCACTAATGACAACAAATCGAACACCAAAGATGAAGTATAAACTTATATGAAAGTCTTTGTAATCCGGTTTTGCAGTATTTCGGATTACATTGCTAGAAAAATAAATGACAATTTATGAAAAGAACTCAAGTTCAATGGAGGAAGACAAAAAAGAATCATATATTTCGATTCATATATGTATTGCAATCAGTGGAACCATTATCAAAACACCTTTTGGACATCATATTACAAAGAGTGTAACTGAAAAAATTTGAAATTGAATAAGAAAACAGTTAGAAACAATAGCAAATGTTCACATGAAAAGCATTGGCGTCCCCCAGGATAAGGTGGGGAGGCCGCCAACATGCAGCAGAATCCAAGCTGCATTTCCAAGCAGCCTGGAGCTGCCTCCAAGGCTCCAACAAACATGGGCGGCCTTCCTCATGTTTAATAACACAAGCTTTTCACCTTTGATCGATTTCCTACTGTTCAATGACACGGTTTTGAAAATTCTCCAAAAAAAAGTAGTTAACAAATTCCACATTTTCTTCTTCTCTAGGGATAGCGGACGTACAAGGGTCACTCGAGGAGTCCTAAGGGGTGATAAGGAAAATTGGGATACCAATTGTAACCCCGAAGGAAATCTATTTGTTGGACATGCAGTAACCAAGTGTGTACGTTCTTGGAATTGATTCAGTTCTTCGGATAATTTTGCTCTATTTTGCTAGTTTGAAGCATCTATCAAATTTTTCATGAGTTGTACAAATAAAATTCATTCCAGATTAAAGTTGTGAAAGAAAAAATACGAAATATTTTAGTTGTAGAAGAATGCCACGTCAGCGATTCTTGTACGCATTTTTGGGGTTAAAATATTTATTATAACAGCCCTGCTAGAAAAAAAGGGCCAAATTCCAGGCCCTTTTCAGGGTGCCGAAGTGGTGCCCTCACATTGGAGGGGGAGCTGCCGAAGAATTACCGGTGGCGCCTTGTCACTTGTCCCGGTCATTGAGCCGGGACAAGCAGCTTAATTCTTATTAGAAAGCATGAATGTGATATGTTCAACAGTTGCATAATGACAAAACACGTGAGAGATTGGGCAAAGATAAAACAAGCAGGTGTACAAAGAACTCCACTAGCACACACTGTTCACACTCAAACAAATGCTGCCAAAACAAGGACGATACTGGATATTGAACGCAATGCATGTTGGGACAGATGAATTCCATCAGAAGTTTTGACAGGAGTAGTATCATCAGATGGGGGAGGATTTGAAGCCGGGAGTTTTTTGGGTTTTAATGGTGCAGGAGCTGGCGGTGGAGATACAAATAGACCATGCGGAAGGAGTA